GACCTAACTCTACAGGAACTAACCCTGACCTAACTACAGGAACTAACCCCGACCTAACTCTACAGGAACTAACCCTGACCTAACTACAGGAACTAACCCCGACCTAACTACAGGAACTAACCCTGACCTAACTCTACAGGAACTAACCCTGACCTAAACCTACAGGAACTAACCCTGACCTAACTCTACAGGAACTAACCCTGACCTAAACCTACAGGAACTAACCCTGACCTAACTCTACAGGAACTAACCCTGACCTACAGGAACTAACCCTGACCTAACTCTACAGGAACTAACCCTGACCTAAACCTACAGGAACTAACCCTGACCTAAACCTACAGGAACTAACGTTAACCTAACGCTACAGGAACTAACCCTGACCTAAACCTTCAGGAACTAACGTTAACCTAACGCTACAGGAACTAACCCTGACCTAACTCTACAGGAACTAACCCTGACCTAAACCTTCAGGAACTAACGTTAACCTAACTCTACAGGAACTAACCCTGACCTAAACCTTCAGGAACTAATGTTAACCTAACTCTACAGGAACTAACGTTAACCTAACTCTACAGGAACTAACCCTGACCTAAACCTACAGGAACTAACATTAACCTAACTCTACAAGAACTAACGTTAACCTAACTCTACAGGAACTAACCCTGACCTAAACCTACAGGAACTAACCCTGACCTAAACCTACAGGAACTAACCCTGACCTAAACCTACAGGAACTAACATTAACCTAACTCAACAAGAACTAACGTTATTCTAAACCTACAGGAACTAACATTAACCTAACTCTACAGGAACTAACGTTAACCTAAACCTACAGGAACTAACCCTGACCTAAACCTACAGGAACAAATCTTAACCAAACTCTACTGAACAACTGATGTCATCTAAATGTTGACTTCTTGAAAGATTTTTGTTTTCGCACCAAGACATTTCCAAACAGGTCTGCCCACTGAAAAGGTTCCTGATTTGTCCACTCAGCGTTCTCCAATGAATCTTGAGCTCTAACTCCATTGCCTTCTGGAGAAGCTGGCAGAAATCCTCTTAGAAAAAGAAAGGAGGCATCTCAAAAGCTTAGTTGTCCTCTGTCTCGGCAGTTGACATCTCAAAATCCTCTCAGGTTCTTCAACAGTAACCAAAAATAAAATGTGCAGAAAACCAGTTGATCTCTTCTAAAAATTCTTTTTTCAAAAATCTGACTCCATTTAGGCTCACAATCAGCCAGCAACAGCTCTGTGAGAGTGACGGGCCTTGGGTCTTATCAGAACCATATCAATAACACCCTCCCACCAGCTGGTGAGGAAAACTAAAGCACAAAGTTTAATCACCCTCTGACTTCCTGGCCACACCCCTGGAGGTGGTACCTTTTGTCAGAACATACTTTGTAAGCCTCCCTGGTAAGGTCTAATCAGGGGTCCTGGAGAGGAGGGTCCATCAGATAGTCGAATCTTGGATTCAGGAAGAGCAGTGTGGTTTTGGTCCTGGTCGTGGAACAGTGGACCAGCTCTGCACCCTCAGCAGGGTCCTGGAGGGTGCATGGGAGTTCAACCAGTCTACACGTGTTTTGTGGACTTGGAGAAGGCGTTCGACCGTGTCCCTCGGGGACTCCTGTGGGGGGTACTCCAGGAGTATGGGGTACCAGGCCTGTTGATACGGGCTGTTAGATCCCTGTAGGACCGGTGCCAGAGCTTGGTCCACATTGATGGTAGTAAGTCAGACTTGTTTCAGGTGAGAGTTGGACTCCAAAAAGGTTGTCCTTTGTCACCGATTCTGTTCATAACTTTTCTGGACAGAATTTCTAGGAGCAGCCAAGGTGTTGAGGGGATCCTTTTTGGTGRCCTTAGGATCACATCTCTGCTTTTTGTGGATGATGTGTGAACCTATTGGCTTCATCAGATCCTGATCTCCAGCTCTCACTGGAGCCGTTCACAGATGGGATGAGGATCAGTGCCTCCAAATCCCAGAGCATGGTCTTGAGCTGGAAAAGGGTAGCGTGCCTTCTCCGGGTCGGGAAGGAGGTCCTGCCCCAAGTGGAGGAGTTTAAGTATCTCAGGTCTTGTTCAAGAATGAGGGAAGAATGGAGAGGGAGATCTACAGGTGGATTGGTGCTGTGTCTGCAGTGATGTGGGCGTTGTACCGGTCTGTCGTGGTGAAGGTTTACCAGTGGGTCTACGTTCCTACCCTCATCTATGGTCAGGAGCTTTAGGTAGTGACTGAAAG